TAGGTTGCCTACTTTTCCTTTCCTTTCACTTTCTTCAGCTCCTTTCAAGTGGATGTTGCAGGGTGTTTATCCGCCTGGGGCCCTTTGTAGTGCTGCTTCCCTTAGTTTTGCTGAGGCACTGGGAGGCCTGTTTGCTGGGCTGCTGGACTGCTGCTCCCTGTCTTTCTTCTGGTTTGGCTGTTCGAGGATTTTTCCTGGGTCAATATTTTCTGGGCTTTCAGAGGTTGAGAGGGAAGGGTGAAAGTGACTACCTTTTTACTCTGCCATCTTGGCTCCCAGAAGTAGAACTCCTGCTTCCCTTAATTTTGCCGAGGCACTGGGAAGCCTGGTAGCTGTAGAATGCTGAGGCACTTGGTAGTTGTCTGAGCTGGTTGATACTGGTTCCCCTGCCATCACTGAGGCACATGGGGTTCCAGGTGTTGGTGTTTGCCTGCTCTACCACCTGAGTTTCAGGATCTCCTTCTGGTGTGCTGAGGTAGGGCTTTCCCCTGGCTTGCTGGGATGCCTCCCACTCTGTACTGCTTCCTTTTCCCCAGGGCAAGAGGGGCCTTTCCCATTAATCCCTCAAGCTACCTGAGCTACCAGACTGCTGCACCCTATCTTTCTTTCTTCTGGTTCAGCTGTTCCAGGGTTTTTCCGAGGGTGATGTTTTCTGGGCTTTCAGAGGTTAATATGGTAGGGTAAGAGCAACTTTCTTACTCCACTATCTTGGCTCCCGGGATAAATTAATACATTAATTAAAAAAAAAAAAGAAACCAGAACTAAAAGGCTGTAGACTTAAGAGCTAAAATGGACCTTAGAAGACAGCAAGCTGTGACCCCCTCCATTTTATACTTGAGGAAACTGAGGCATAGAAAGATTAAAGCTACTTTCTTAGTGTCACATAGGTAGTATTTACTGAGATTAGGTATGAAACCAGGTCCTCCTGATTCCAAGTCAAGTGCCCTAAACACTACCTTACTCTGACTTTTAGTGAATGTTTGTTGAATTGAATGTGTGTTGAATAAAGGCCTGACCTACTGGTGGTACGGTGGCTGTTGCACTGGGCCTGGAGTTAGAAAGTCCTGATTGAAATCTGGACTCAAGTACTTTCTAGTTGTGTAACCCTGGGCAAGTCACTTAATTTCTGTTTGCCTCAATTTCCTCACCTGTAAAATGGGGATAATGATAACTACCTCAAAGGGTTGTTGTGAGGATAAAATATTGTTTATAAAACGCTTTTAGTAAAGTACCTGGTACAAAGCAAGCACTATATAAATGCTTATTCCTTTCCCCTTACCTTCCTTAACTAGGGACTAAGGTCCTTTGCTGCTCTACATTCTATGAACCTCTAACTCTTTTATGATTGTTTCCTCACCTCTAAAATAAGGATAATTCTGATGCTGCCTAATTCATAGGGCTGTGAAGAACAAATGAGATACTGGATATGAAAGGGGTTTGTCAGCTAGAAAGAATGATTGGTATATACACATACACAAAATGATATGTATAATATCACTTTTGATTCCGATAGTAGCCAAAAAAAGCAGTTGTGATCTTGGGCTACTTTAAGAAAGGCATGCCTTTGCCTCAATGAAACAAACAAACAAAAATAAATAAAAGAGAGCAGAAGAAAATTTAAGAGACATAGACAAGTAGAGTGTTATTGGTATCATCATGTTAAATTTAACATGTACTTTAAAAATAGTTGTACATAATGGGAATTTGTGGTTTTATATTAAATTTTTTTCCTTTACTTTGAGAAGGGTACAAGCATTTATTAAGCACCTACTATGTGCAGCACTGTGCTAAGCACTTTACCTATATTATCTCATTTGATTCTTATAACAGTCCTGTAAAGTAGGTGCTATTATTATCTCCATTTTACAGTTAAGGAAACTGAGGCAAACAGATTTAGTCACTTGCCCAAGGTCACACAGCTTGGAAGTATCTGAGGCTGCTTTTGAACTCAGGTCTTACTGACTCTAGACCCAATGCTCTGAGCCTCCTGCCTTACCTTTGTATATGAACATGTTCACATTTGTTTATATTTAATTTCATAATTATAAAAAGCAAAGAAAAATAGAAAGGAATAGCAGCCATTCATAAGGAGCTGGCAATACCCTGGGTCTCCTCTTCTGCCATGGTAAGAGAAAATCTGGAATATTGCATTCATTTTGGGGTGTCACTTTCCAGAAGGTAAAGAGGAGGATGGTGAGAGGTCTACCTCTGATTTACATGGTCTAAGGATGTAGGGAAGGAACCAGGGATATTTCGCCTATAGAAGATTTGAAGAACATCATAGCTGTCCTTAGTTGCTTGAAGGTCTATTATTCTGAAGAGGGATTAGACACATTTTGGATCCAGACGGTGGAAGTAGGAGCACAGGGTTGAAATTTCAAAAAGGTTAATTGAGGTTGGATGTATTAGGCAGGGTGAGTTCCACATCCTCTCCCCGATTTGACGTCTTCAAGCAAAGGCTAGAAAACCACCTGTTGATTATGATGAAGAGGGGATTTTTTTTTCTTTTCTGGCATAAGTTAGATTAGATATTCCTTGAGGTGCATTCCAACTATGAAATTCTGATTCTCTGCCAATAGACATAAAATAGAGACTTAAAGAGAGTGTAGACTCATATAGACCTAAATACATAGTATAGACTTAAAATTGAGTCTAAGTTAACATAAAGTGGCATAGAGAAGTGAACAAGAACAATGATGGACTATCACTTCACATTTCTATAGGGTTTTTTTTCCTTTAGAACCCCAAGAGATAATCAATACAAGTATTATTGTTCCCATATTAGAGATCCAGAGGGTATGTAACTGGCTCACCACACATAACCAGGAAGTATTAGAGTCAGGACTCCAGCTTGGATCTTTTAAAATTCTAATTTCAGTACCTTTTTTTTATGTCCCAAGGATTACTTGATGCTTCAGATGAAGGAGAGATCTATATAGACTAGACTTATCAGGAAAGGATTTCTTGGCGTTTGTCTAAGAAGTGAAGCCTCAATTTGGTTTTGACCTTGGACAAAGGGGGTGACAATTTATAGCAGGGCCCATAATCACTTAGCACTTTTTATGACCCACCAACTGAGCCTGGCTCACCTTTTCTAAGGGATCAGAATTTATATTCTGATCTTTTCTTTATTTTGGCCAGAAGGTAATAGTTGTAAGATGGACAAAAGTAATTAACTCATAATCCATTTATTGGAGAGATAAAGACACTGCTCTTGAATTGACCTTTGGTTCATCAACTCAGTGCAAAGTTTCAGGTCCTCTTGCCTGCTGACCCTACCCTTGGATACTGGGAATATGACAGCCCATAAGCCATAGCCATGCAATTCAATTTTTGGGGGAAAGGAGAGGGAGGTAGAGCGGATGTGTAATCTTTTTTTTTTCTTACAGAAAATTGCATTCATACCTGCAGTCCTGGATGGAGTATTTTTCCCTAAAACCCCCAAAGAACTCCTTGCTAAAAAGCTGTTCAATCACATCCCCTATATTGTTGGAATCAACAACAATGAATTCAGCTGGCTTCTTCCAACTGTAAGAGTCCTTTGGTTTCTTCTGGAATCTCATCCTTCCTCTTCTTTTTTTTATAATAAACTTTATTTTTACCATTTATTTTCGTGGAGGACACATTAGGATTATTACATCAGTCACTGATGTTAGTTATCAATTGATGTCTATGCAGAAGTAGAAATGTCATAGCTTAAACAAAGTTAATTTTAAAAATCTTTTATTTAATACAAAAAAAAATTACCAGTGCATAAGTATCTGGTTCAATTTGTTGTAGAAGAAAATGATGTAGATTCAGAATATCTAGATCAAATTCTACATCTGCCACTTAATAGTTGTGTAATTTTGGGCAAGTCACTTAAGCTGTCTGGGTATTGATCTCCTTAATTGAAAAAGAGGAATAATAGTTGCACCATACTTTTCACACTGTTATTAATCATTGAATCATTCTTTAAGTATTAAAAAAAAACCCTGGCTATATGAAGGATTTTGCACAATGTATAATGCCCTGGAAGAAAATAATACATATACATCTACTGTCTTTTATATGAAACCATGTAAAAACCAACTCACTTTCAATATGGAGTTGTGACTGTTCTGAGAATATATAATGATTTTCATCATTGTGGTCCACTTTTCCAATTTGGAACTCTTAATTCTATGTGACAAACTTCACTGGGTTGCATAATTAGCAGGAATTTCTTTTCTTTCTTTCTTTTTTTTTTTTGATTTAGTATTTTATTTTTCCCCAGTTACACGTAAAAACAATTTTAACATTCATTTTTAAAACTTTGAGTTCCAAATATTCTCTCTTCTTCCCTTCCCACTCCATCTGTCATTGAGAAGATAAACAATTTGATGTAGATTATGCATGTGTAGTCATGCAAAACACTTCTATAATAGTCATGCTGTGACAGACTAACTATATTTCCCTCCATCTTATCCACCATCATTTGTTCTATTCTCTCCCTCCTTTCACCCTATCACTCCTCAAAAGTGTATTGCTTCTGACTACTCCCTTCCCCAATCTGCCCTCCCTTTTATCATCACCCCTTCTCTTATCCCTTTCCCACCTACTTTCCTGTAGGGTAGGATAGATTTCTATACCCAATTAAGTGTGTATGTTATTCTCTCCTTGAGCCAATTCTGATGAGAGTAAGGTTCATTCACTCCCCTTTAAATTCCCCCCCCTTCCCTCCACTGTAAAATCCTTTTCTTGTCTCTTTTATGTCTCTTGTCTCCATTCTACCTTTCCCTCTCTCTTTTGCCCAGTACATTCTGCTCTCACTCGTTAATTTTATTTTTAGATACCATCTCTTCGTATTGAACTCACACCTGTACCCTCTGTCTATATATATGGTCCTTCTAACTACTCTAATAATGAGAAAAGTCTTATGAGTTACAAATATCATTTTTCCATGTAGGAATATAAACTGTTTAACTTTAATAAGTCCCTTATGATTTCTCTTTCCCGTTTATCTTTTCATGCTTCTCTTGAGTCTTGTATTTGAAAGTCAAATTTTCTATTTAGCTCTAGTCTTTTCTCAAGAATTTGTGAAATTCCTCTATTTCATTGAATGTCCATTTTTCCCAGTGAAGGATTATATTCATCTTTTTTGGGTAGGTGATTCTTGGTTGTAATCCTAGCTCTTTTGCCCTCCAGAATATCATATTCCAAGCCCTTTGATACTTTAAGGTAGAAGCTACTAAATCTTGTGTTATCCTGACTGTGGCTCCACAATACTTAAATTATTTCTTTCTGGCTGCTTGCTCCTTGATCTGGGAACTCTGGAATTTGGCTATAATATTCCTGGCAGTTTCATTTTGGGATCTCTTTTAGGAAATGATCAGTGGATTTTTTCAATTTCTATTTTACCCTCTGGTTCTAGAGTATCGGGGAAGTTTTCCTTGATAATTTTTTTGAAAGATGACATTAGGCTCTTTTTTTGATGATAGCTTTCAGGTAGTCCAATAATTTTTAAATGATCTCTTCTGGATCTGTTTTCCAGATCAGTTGTTTTTCCAATGAGATATTTTACATTGTCTTCTATTTTTTCATTCTTTTAGTTTTGTTTTATGATTTCTTGATTTCTCATAAAATCATTAGCTTTCATTTACTCCATTCTGATTTTTATGGAATTGTTTTCTTCAATGAGCTTTGAACCTCCTATTCCATTGGCCAATTCCGCTTTTTAATGTATTCTTCTCTTCATTGGCTTTTTGGACCTCTTTTGCCATTTGGGTTAGTCTATTTTTTTAGTTATTTTTTTTTCAGTATTTTTGGAGGTCTTCTTTACCAAGTTATTAACTTGATTTTTATGATTTTCTTGCATCACTCTCACTTTTTTAAGTTTTTCAATTTTCATTTTTTCCTCTATTTCTCTTACTTGATTTTCAAAATCCTTGTTGAGCTCTTCCATGCCCTGATAGCAATTCATACTTTTCTTGGAGGCTTTGGATGTAGGAACTTTGACTTTGTTGTCTTCTGAGTGTATGTTTTGATCTTCCTTGTCATCAAAGTATGTTACTATAGTCAGAGGTTTTTTTTCTCCATTCGCTCATTTTCTCAGCCTAGTTCTTTGACTTTTAACTCTTTGTTAAAGTATGGCTCTGCTTCCATGGTGGAGGACACTGTCCTAAGCTTCAGGGATTTTGTGCAGCTGTTTTCAAAGATACTTCTAGACACCTGTAAGTTTTCAGTTCTTCCAAGGTGGTATGATCTAAGGAGAGGTGTTTACTCCTTTCTTGGCTTGTGCTCTGGTCTGTGAGTCACCACAAGCAGTGTTTTCTTCCCTGGAACTGTGGGGAGGGTTCCCTCTCCACTGCTGCCACAAGCTCTACTATGCTAGTTTTCCTTCTTGTCCCAGGACTGCCACCAGTACTGTGACCCAGATCCAAGTATGGGCAAAGCAACACAGTCCTACCTCAGTGCTAGCAAAAAGATCCCTGTAATTGCCTTCTGACCTGTTTTTTGATCTCATTACTGTCTGTGGGCTGAGAGCTCCTGAAGCTGATGCTGCTACTACTGGTTCAATCATTCTCAAGGCCTGCTGTGTGTTTGCTGGAGCCAGGGCTGTGCTGACACAGCCTGTGATGGACTACACTCCACTCTTATCCAAGTGCAATAGACCTGTCCTGCTGACTTTCCAAGTTGTCTTTGGTGTCTGTGGGCTATAGAGGTCTGGAAACCACCACTGCTGCCAGTGATTCAGTCATGCCAAGACCTGCTCCAGCTTTCCTGGGGTCAGTTCTGTGCTGGCGTTGCCTATACCAGACTGCCCACCTCTCTCACACTGGTACAACAGAACTTTCTTCTCAACCTTCCAGCTTGTCTTGGGCTAGAAATTTGTTTCACTCTGTGTTTTTGTAGGTTCTGCTGCTCTAGAATTTGTTTAGAGTCATTTTTTAAAGTATTTGGTGGGGTTTGGGGGAGAACTTAGATGAGTCTCTGCCTTTACTCCACCATCTTGGCTCCATCCCCTCATCCTTCCTCTTTTGCAGGATGAGATTCTTTTCCTAATTAAGTCAAGAAAATAATCTGTGACTCAATAAGGCTACTCTGCTGTTGCTGCTTCTCAGTGAATTCCATTCCCTCAAGTCTCACCCCCCAAGAATAGAGTTATATTTCCAAAGCATTGCTCTGGACACACCAGGAGCTCTTAACCTTGGTGAAATCTATGGAAGGCTTTTTCAGCACAATGTTTCTAAATTCATAAAATAAAACACATGGGATTATAATAGAAATAAAATATCTTAAAATCCAAAAACATTTAAAAAATTTTGGACCTCATTTTAATCATGGATTCATGGATGCTTTGGGCAGTAATTAAATTTTTGCAAAGGAAAAATAAACCCTAGTATCAGGCACTCTCTAATAGGAATCTTTTAATTTTAGAGGTGGAGTGGACCTTAGAAATCATACAATCCAAACCTCATTTTATAGATGGAGAAATTGAGGCCAAAAGGATGCATGCTAGAGTGAGTTAATGGCAAAGCTAGAATTAGAACCCAGACTTTCTCTCATTCGTGGTTCACTCCATTGCTTACTACCGAATAGGTGTCCAATGCCCTCATGATGGGCAGCCAGGTGGTGCAGTAGATAAAGTGCTGGGTTTGGAGTCAGGGAGACTCATCCTCCTAAGTTTAAACCTGGCCTCAGACACTGTCTAGGCAGTGTTACCCTAAAGAAGTCACTTAGCTCTGTTTGCCTCAGCTTCTTTATCTGTAAAATGAGCTAGAGAAAGAAATAGCAAATCAATCCAGTATCTGTGCCAAGAAAACTCCAAATGGAGTCACAGAGAGTTGGACAGAGAGTGAAACAACAATACCTCATGAACTCTCCAATCTCTTTTTTGTTAAAATGGAAAAAGATTTGTATGAGGCCCCAGGTTATATCCAAGCCTCTTCTCCAATGTAGAGGCAATGTGGTATGATAGAATAAGCACTATTTTGGGGATATAATGACATAAGTGTGAACTCTGGTTCTATTACCTGCTACCTATATGGCCCCAACCAAGTCATTTCTATTGAGCTTTGGTTTTCTTATCTGTAAAATGAAGTCATTAAACTTCACTAGATATACTCTAAGGGTCCTTCTCTCTCTAAACTCCATCAAAAATAATTCACACTCAGCTATAACTAATGTTCAAGTGTGAATGAATTGTTTAGTGTGTTGCCTCTCCCAGTGAGACTTGCATCCTAATAAGGGCACACCTGTGACTTAAAGTAATGAAGCCCTGATGGTGGAACTTTAGTATCAATAAAAGAAAAATGGAAGAGATGTACTCTATTGTTATTGTTAGAAATCAAAGGAAGTAAGCAAGAGTTTATCAAGCTCCTACTATATGCTAAATGCTTTACAAATATCTCATTTGATTCTCACAACACCAATCTCAGATGCTTTCAGATCCTTCATAGATAAATCCTAACAGAAAGGAAGCTGGACACTCCCTGTTGACTGACCCTTTTTTAGGCTTAAGGTATAGTATCTGCTATTTCCCTGATTTAAGAATTGTTTTTCATATTATTGCTTTTAATTTTTCCTGGGTTATGTTATAAGCCAAATTCATTCACTGAATTAACCCAACTCATCAGAGAGTTTTGTTCCATAGCCTAAGCTGAGAGGTTTTTTTCCCTAGTTTCTCCCAGGCTACTTTAATTCTATTTGTTTATTTGCTCTTGTTGCTTTAAGTGAAATTTAGTTCTTCTGTGCAGCTCATGAAGTATCCTCCATTTGAAGACAGAATGGATCAAGAGAAGGCAATGCTGCTGGTTTGGAGGTCCTATCCACTTCTTGTAAGAGACCTTGAACCAAAGACTATTAGGGCAGAGAGGGCACATAAGTCAAAGATTGTCAGAGACAGGAAGGATCTTAGAACATAGAATGATATAGCTTAAAAGATCTTAAAGTCCATCTATTTGATATCCTTGTTGTACAAATTGGGGAAACCAAGGCCCAGACCAGAGAAATTATTTCCCTAAGGTGACAAACTACTCTGTGACTGAGCTAGTACTTGAAACCAAGTCTTCTGACCTCCAGGCCAATGTACTTTCCCTTGCATCCTGGTTTTTACCATTCAGATTTTAAAAAAAAATACTTTAAGGGAAGTATTTTAATTTGTTTTCCCTTGTATTGGTAGAAGTACTAAACCATGGGCTCTCCCTATGGTAGAGTAAAAGCCTGTTAGAAAATTCATAAAATCATTTAATGGCATGTCTTTTAATTCACTCCTTCCCTAGGTTGAAAATACTCCCTCCTACCCTTGAAGCCTCCCAATGGCATATTATTCATATCTCAGTTATGCATTTAGTAAATTGGACCTTTGGTTATGGTTGAGTTTGTTACTATGTAATCCCCCTACTAACCTGTAAGACTTGAAGAGCACAGTCCTGTCTTATCTCTCTCTATCTTCAAAAGTACCTGATACTGGGGCCCAGAACATATTAAAAGCTTGATAGGCATGCTCCACATAATTCCAACAGTTAAGTTCAGAAAAACAGGATATTAAGGAAAATGACATTGTGAGGGGGTTAGTTTAATAGGAATATGATAAATTAGTGATTAGCTAAATGCAATTATTGTAGGGTTTCATTCTTTTTGGTAGAGTTAGTTATATGCATTAAGAGGTTAGTTGTGGCTATGCTATGTGGAGTATATAGTTAAATGAATAGAAAAAAAAGTTTGTGAGAAAATTCCTGTAATGGTTTAATGGAATGTTATTTAATTCACTCCTTCCCTAGGTTGAAAGTACTCTCTCCTACCCTGGAAGCATCCCTGTGGCATATTGTTCATATCGCTGTTATGCACTTAGTATATTAAAACTTTGGTTATAGTTGTGTTTGTTACTATGTAATCTCCCTACTAAACTGTAAGCCTTGAAAGGTAGAGAGCTCTGTCTTATTCATCTCTATATCTTCCAAAGTACGTGAGACAGGGGCCCAGCACATACTAAATGCTTGATAGGCATATTCCGCCTAATGTCAACAGTTGGGTTCACAAAAACAAGATATGAAGAAGAATATCATTGTGTGTGAGGGGAGTTAGTTTAATAGGAATATGATAAATGAGTGATTAACTAAATGGAGCTATTGTAGGGTTTCATGGTTTTATGATATGGTTAGTTATATTTATTAACAATGTTTTTGTAAAGAGAAAAAGGTTAGTTGTGGCAATGTTATGTGGAGTATATAGTTAATGAATTTAAAAAAAAAAGATGAATGAATACATATCCAAACACTTTTCCCTCCTTAATCCATTGATCTTTTCAGAAAATCTCCCAAAATCTCATTCCTTTGATAACTGAGGAGTATCTCGGAATTACAAATGATACTGTGAAAAAGAAATATCTATTTATGGAAATGATGGGAGACTTCTTCATTGGGATCTCAGCTGTGATGGTGGCTCGATTTCATATGGGTAAGTTATAAGGAAAAACAAGGAAGAGGGTAATGATAAAACCAACCTTAGCTGTTTCATGTTTTAGCCAAGGATGCTTGGTCTAAAGCTACTTGGGATAGGTATTGCTTAGAGGTTGAGTAGACATTTTTTCTATGTAAGGAAAAGAGTGCTGGACTTGGATATGGAAAATCTATGTTCAAATTCTGGCTGGGACATAGGACAAGAAGGTAATTCTCCTCTCAACTTTAGTGCTTTTCCCCCCTTTTCTGGCTCATCATTTCATATCATACCCCCTAAATATGGATCTGCACCAAGTCCCTGTCCTATGCCATCAGCTGTAATCTTACTACACTCTTAATAGGTGGTCACATCAGTTTCCATGAATTTAATTATCATACCATGAAGACGACTCTGAGATTTGTGTTCAGCCCTGTCTCTTTCCTGAGTTCCAATCACTAATTGCCTATTGAACATTTCAAGCTGTATGTTTCAGAGATTTCTCAAATTACACATATTTAAAACAAAGCTCATTCTATTCTTTTCCTCACCCTACCCCCCACTTCAATTCCTTTCCTACCCTCCCTATTTCTGTCAAAGGATCATTACTATTGCAGATAACCAGGTTTACAACTTCAGTGTTAGCCTTGAATTTTTACTTTCATTTGCTCCATATAGGTAATCAGTTAGCAAATCTTGTCTATTCTATCTCCCCAACATCTCTGACATCCATCCCCTTCTCTCTGTTCACACAGCTTATTCAGGTCTTCTTTAGTACTTGTCTAACAATTGCAATGATCTTCTCATTGATCTCCCTGCCCCAAGTCCCTGTCTCCCTTAATCTATACTCCACAAACTAACAAAGTAATTTTGCTTAAGTTTGGGTTTGACCACATAACTTCCCTACTCAGTATGCTCATGTGATTCCCTGCCACCTCTAGGAAGGAATATAACTTCCTCTCTTTGTCATTTAAAACCATTTAAAAACCAGCCCTAATCTACTTTTCCAGCCTTATTAGATACACTATTCCCCTCCTGTACTTTACAACCCAGCTAAACAGTCCTTCTTGCTGTTTCTCACATCCCGAGCTTCTCTCCCATCACTTTTCCTTTGTACTAATCATACTGAATGCCTGGAATGAACTCCTTCATTTTCATGTTTTAGAATCCCTTCTTTCCTTCAAGGCTTAGTTCAAGCACTACTGTCTATGTAGAGTCTTTCCTGATCCTCCAGATGGTAGTGCCCTCCCTCCCAAAATTACCTCATATTTTGTAACTATTATGCAAATACTTTTTGAATAATATGTATATGTTATCTCTCTCAATAGAATGTATGCTTCTTGAAAACAAGGTTTATTTAATGTTTTTTCTTTGTATCCCTAGTGTATGACACAATGCCTGTCACTTGTCAGGAACCCAATAAACCTTATTAATCAAAATGATTCCTGGAGGTGAGAGGGTCATAGCATCATAGATAATAAATAGAAGGGACCTCAGAGATCATTTAGCTCAACCTTTCATTTCAGATGAGGTAACTAAGGTCAAAGCAAGCTAAGTGATTTGCTCATACAGGTCACACAGAATTTAAATATCAAAAGTGGGAGTTAATTTCACATAAGATAGCAGATAACAAGCTTTTCATAGATTTTCCACTGACCCCTCTGAACTCTCCCCAGACTTGTAAATACATCCAGGTTAGGAGGCTTGAAATGTTGGATTTCCCATCATTTTCTCTCCTTTTAGCTTCAGGTGCACCAACCTACATGTATGAATTTCAACATCGATCAAGCTTTTGGGGAAATATGAAACCAGAAAACATGAAGGCAGACCATGGGGATGACATTTTCCCGTCTTGGGGGCTCCATTTTTAAAAGGTGATGGACCTATGCTGGCTAGAAAAGCCTCATGAAAAAATTGGCTGGGTAATAAGTAGCCTCTCTTGTCTAACTTGATTTTTGCAATAACCCTGTGAAATAGAAAGAATCAAACGACATAAAAGATATGAAGTTTGGTAGGATAAAAAGGCTGAAGAAATATAAAGGCTACTTATTATTTAGCCTTTATTATCCATAACTTATAGGAAGAAAATGAGGACTGGAGAGGGGAAGTGATTTGGCTTAGGTTACTGGTAGATATGAGGCCAGGGCACAGGTCTTCTGTCTCTCAGTCCCAGGTTAACTTGACTGGGCAATCTGTCTTAAACCTTATGTGTCACTAGTAAACAAACATCTCTTCTTGCTTAATTCAATATTGAGGATACGTTAACAGAAGAAAAGTTTTGAGACAGGAGATAGAAGACATTTTGGCTCTTCTCTTCCCTAGTCAACCACACCTGAAATATTTTTTTCAGTTTTGGGCACTACATTTTAGTAATGACATTAATGAGATGGAGACTATCCAGAGGAAAGTGAATAGGATGGTATGGGACTGTTAGGGGCAGGATTAACTTCGGCACCCTGTTATTCTGAGCTCAATTTTAGGGCAAAATGAGGCCTGATATTGCTTTGAGCCATTAATAAAAAGTGGTTCACTTGACCCTAACATAGCAAGGTCATGTAATACGCATGCAGTGGCATTTAGCTTGTACATATGTAACCCTCTTGTCTCAATAGGACAGATCATGGTGATTTTTAGGTGTTAGATATCCATAGAGTCAGAAGGTCTGGATTCCATATGGGTGGGACTTTTTAATGTCTTTAGGTGATCAGGAAGCTGCATTAAAGGAGCCAGAGGCCAAAAAGACCTTAGCAAAATATTTGTTGCATTTTGGGGAAAAGCAATCCCTGTTGCAGGAAAATGGAGAGGATCTTAGTTCTGTCAATGGGTCCTTATGACCATACCACATGAGGAATGGTTGAAAGACCTGTGGATATTTAGTTTCTAGTAACGATATTGGTGGGACTTAATGACTATGCTCAAATATTTGGAAGACTGTCACGTGGAAGAAGTATTAGACTTATTCTCTTTGGACAGAAGTAGTAACAATGGATGTAAGATGCCGTGAGATGGATTTTGGTTCCAATGTAAGGAAACATTTCCTAACAATAAGGGTTGTCCAAAAGTGTCCATGTTTTGTCTGTGGAGGTAGTGTACTTTACGTCACTTGTGGTCTTCTATCAGAGGTTGGATGAGCACTTTTTTCATGGACATTCTGGAGAGGATTCCTCTTTAGATTGAGTTGGTCTAGTTGTCCTCAGAGTTACTCCAATTCTGAATGTATTTCCAATGGACTATTTCCATGAGTGTCCAAGTAAACTTAGCTTCAAGGGCTTCATTTGCCCTGATCATCTGCTCTGTTTTGGAAGATGCTTGGGAGACAAGAAGATAGATATTGATGTCATACTTGGACAAGTCTCCACAATTCCAGATAAAAATGCCCAACAACACTTTTGAGGTTCATGATATTGCCATGTGACTGAACTCTTTCCATCTTAAAGCTTTGGCCTCTAATTTCCTCCAGTTTTTGATTCATATTTTCTCTAGGTGGCATCATTGAACTTCTGGCATTTAGGTATTTACTACTCCAAGAGGAAAATCTGAGTCTAGGCTTCCTTTACCTTTGCCTTTCAGGGCTATTATTAGCAATGTCTTTGATGTTAATACTGTGGATTCTCAGGCTTTAGATGCAAAGCTGAAAATAATGTTATTAGAACAGTGGATTTGGAGTCATGGGCTCAGGGTTCAAATTCTAGCTCTGCTCCTTATTACTTGTATGGCCTTGGGAAAGTCATTTAGCCTCTCTGGCACTTAGTTCCTTTATCTGTAAGATCAAGGAGTTGGACTAGATGAAGTTCTTTCCAGCTCTAAAAACTAATGTTCCTAAGTAATATCTATCAGCATTCTCAAAATCTCTCTCCTGCCAACCTTCTTGGTAGCTGAGAGTCTATGTTAGAAATTCATTCCTTTAAGTTATTATGTTCTGTTAATGTATAAATATCTTTAAGAAGAGTGGAATTTTTGGTTTTACTAATTATTATTATCAGTCCTAAAATTTAATTCTTGGGAAGACTTAAAACAAAATGCAGGTAGGTTTATAGACAACTTCAGAGCATTGATTTGGTGTGGTACATCAGGATGGGGCACCATATAAAGTAGAAGATCAAGGATAGCCAGGATAGTAAAAGGAATATACATGAAGGAAGAGTGGGGTGTGAACTGAAGACAAATTTTCTTTCTTACTATACTCATCCCATACTAATATCTGTGGTATTCATCTTTAGAGGGTGCTTCAGAAGAGGAGAAACAGCTTAGCAGGACAATGATGAAATACTGGGCCAACTTTGCTCAGAATGGGTGAGATTTTTAACAAAGGAAGGAGAGAACTTAATACCTAAGTAGTAAGTCATTTACCTTAGCATTTTTGGTGGGTGTTCTCCTTTTTTTCTTCTTAAGATGATAGATTTAGAGCTGATAGGCATGATATAATTCATGCAGTTCAATCTCTTCATTATTCTTTTTCCTTTTTAATTTATTTGAATTAGAAAATATTCCTTCTCCTTCACACTGAAAACAAATACCCTTGTAAGAAATACGTATGGTAGAGCCAAAAAAAAAACAACAACAAAACTTAGGCATTTGCTATTTATACACACACACACACACACACACACACATACACACACATGTACACACACACAGATGTCATCTACATTTATACACAAATATATATATATTTTTCTATACGTATATATTTGCATATATGTGTATATATGTTATTACTATTACATGTATGTACATCTATAGATATATCTGCAGACATGTCAGTAATTAGGTAGCATGTATCACCATAAGTCCTCTGGAATTGTAGTTGGTCATTATATTGATCAAAATTCCTCAATCTTTCAAAGTTGTTTGTCTTTACAATATTGTTGTTATTGTATAAATTGTTCCCCTGGTTCTGCTCACCTCCTCTAACAGTTCACACAAGTAGCCCCAGGTTTCTCTAAAAATATTCCTTTTGTTTCTTGGAACATGATATCATTCAATCATATTCTAATACCATAATTTGTTTACCCAATTAATGGCCACCTATTAGTTTCCAGTCCTTTGCTACAGAAGAAGAAGGACTATAATATTCTTATACATGGAAACCCTTTTCTCCTTTCTTTGACCTTGTAGTGAGTAAAAAGTGTGTACAATTTAATAACTTCTTGGGTATAATTCCAAATTGCACTCCAGAATGGCTAAACCAGTCCACAGCTCTACCAATAATGCATTAATGTATTTCCTTTTCCATAGTCCTTCCAACATTCATCACTTTTTCTTTTGCCAATTTTTACATTTGTATGAGGTAAAACCTCAGGGTTGTTTTAATTTGATTTCTCTGATTATTCATGATTTGGAACATTTTTTTTCACCTGACAATTGATAGCTTGGATTTCTACCTTTGAAAATTTCCTGTTCATATCCTTTGAACATTTATCAATTGGGAAATGGCTTTAATTCTTATACAATTTAATCAGTTCCCTATATATTTTCAAAATAGCACCTTTATCAGAGAAACTTTCTTCTAAGATCCTTCTCACTCAATTACTTGCTTCTTTTCTAATTTCAGCTGCATTGGTTTTGTTTGTGCAAAAACTTTTAAAATTTTATGTAATCAAAATTGTCCACTTTATCTCTTATGAACCTCTCTATTCCTTGTTTGGACATGAACTTTTCCTCTATCCATAGATTTTTCTTGTAATTTATTCATGATGTCACTCTTACTTTTAAGTAATATACAAATTCAGAACTTACCTTGGTCTACAGAGAGATCATAGTCTATATTTAATTCCTGTCAGATTGCTTTTCAATTCCCCTTCCCTCCAATTTTTGTTGAACAGTGAATTCTTTCCTCAATAACTACATCATATGAGTTTATCAAACACTGGGCTACTGTATTTTCTTGCGCTGTTTATTGTGTAATAGACCTGGTGGCACAGTAGATAGAGTGCCAGGCTTAGAGTCAAGAAGACTCAGCTTACTGAGTTCAAATATGGCCATAGACAACTACTAGCTGTTTGACCCTGGGCAAGTCACTTAACCCTATTTCTCTGAGTACTTCATCTTGTAAAATGAGGTAAAGAAAGAAATGGCAAACCATTCCAGTATCTTTGCCAAGAAAACCTCTAAAGGGGTCATGAAGGGTCAGATATGATTGAAAATGATTGAAGAATAATAACAACAAAATATTGTATAATTAATCTGCTCCACTGATCAGGCTCTCTTTCTTAGCTACTACTAAATTGTTTTCATGATTATTACTTTGTGGTAGTGTTAGAGATCTCCTTCCTTCCCATATTTTCACTATTTTCCTTGAGATTCTTTACCATTTCTCCCTCCAGGTGAAATTTTGTTATATATTTTTTTCTAGTTCTATAAGTTAATCCTTTGGTAATTTGATTGGTAGAACAATTTAGGTAGCACTTTCATTTTATTGCCTTTACCTAGCCTTCCAAATTATAATTTCTACAATTATTTAAATATGTCTTTATTTGTATAAGGAATGTTTTGTAGTTGTATTCATTTAATTCCTGAGTATGTCTTGGTAGGTAGATTCTCAAGCATTTTATAAATTCTGTAGTTTTTTTGAATGCAATTTCTTTATTTATTCTCACTAAATTTTGTTGCCAACATGTAGAGGACTGTTAATGATTTCTGTGCATTTTTTGTATTCTGAAAAATTGATGAAATTATAAATTATTTTAATTTTTAGTTTTAAAAAATTACATGCCAAATTTGTTGACCTCTTCTTTCCTTTATTTATTAAAATTGTTAGTGATATTAATTTCTCCCTAAGGATTACTTTGCATGCCAAAATTTTTATGTTTTCTTATTGTTGCCATTATCTGATTATTCTTATAATTTTGCTTTCCAACTCATTCTTTAGAATTCTTAGTCTCCTCAGACACGTGACACTTACTAGCTGTGTGACCCCGGGCAACTCACTTAACCCTGATTGCCTCGCCAAAAAGCAAAAAAAAAAAAAAAAAAAGAATTGTTAGTCTCCAATTGATTTTTTATCATGTATTGAATGTAATTTTTAATGAATAATGATCTGCAACATTTTCCATTTTTGTAAAGGTGCCACACACAGTTGAGAAACATATATATTCCTTTCTATTTCTATTAAATCATCTCTTGAGATCTGTCATATCTAACTCTTTCTAAAATTCTATTCTAGTCCTTAACTTTTTTTGGGGGGGGGGTTAGTCTTGTATATGTATGAAAGTGGTACATTAAGTTTCTCCACTATTATTATTATTTTTTACTGTCTATTTCTACCTATAACTCATTTAACTTTTCCTGTAATTATTCATATGTTATGGCATTTGCCACAAATGTTTGATATTGATATAAATTCATTGTCTTTGGTAACTTTCAACAAAATAGAATCTACCTTTCTATCTCTTGATTAATTTTTTTGTTACCTTGTCTCTGATCATACTTGCTACCACTGCCTTTTTTATTTCAGTTAAGCATAATAGATTTTATTCCATCCCTTTATTTTAATTCTTAATGCATGTTCTTTCAAGTATATTTTTGTAAGCAAAATATTTTTTTTGCATTTGTTTTCTAATCCTCTTCCATTTTTACTAGACAGTAAAAATTCCATCAAATCCTTTCTACTGTCTTCTTCCATTTTATTTGTGACTTTATCCAATTCACATTTATGGCTATGATCATTAATTTTGAATTTCTTGTCAATATATTCTTTTATTCTTTTTCTTATCTTTGTTATCTTTATGAAGAGAGTTTCAAAGAAAAGGAGTGTGATCAGCACCAGTACTCTAGGTGAGATGCAATCTGCTTCTGTTCCCCTGCCCCACTTGTCTTTGACCCTCTCAGAGGCCAATCACAGATGCTTATCTTTTTGTCCTTTCCTTTTAAACCCACTTCAAGATCTCCTTCTGATGATAGTTTGTTTTATTCATGACTAATTCCTCCCTTAATCTACCTTTCCTTTTATTCCTTCAATTCTTTTCTCCCTTTCCTTCTTACTTACATGTTGAGTAAATGTATTTCTGTAACCAGCTGTCTGTTTTCTTCCCTGCTCTAATGCTGGTGAAAATGAACTTAAAGTGTCATCAACTTTCACCACCCCATCCTCCTTATTTGTATAGTTTTCTACTTGTGCACCATAATTGTATGCAATAATTTTCTCTACCTTTCTTCTCCCTTTCTTTCCCACTCTATACATTTACTCGTACCTTTTCTTTCTTCTTTTAAGATAATCAAAACATTTAACAAAACACCCTAAGGGCCTCTCTCTGTCATCCCTAATGATGATAGGTTACTGACGGGATACAAGCATCTTCTCCCCATATTAGAATGTAAACAGTTTACCCTTGTTTTGTTCCTTAGGATTGCTCACCCCTTTTTATGTTTCTCTTGACTCTTGTGTTTATATTTCAATTCTGATCTTTTTATCAGGTATATTTGGAAGGCCTCTATTTAATTGAAGGTACATTTTTTATCCTATAGGTTTATTCTCAGTTTTTCTGATTAAGTTTTTCTTGATTGTAAGCCTGTATATTTTGCCTCCTGGAATATTGTATTTTGAGCTCTTTGCTTCTTTATAGTAGTGGCTGCTACATCTTGTGTGACCCTGCCTATCTCTCCCTGGTGCTTCAATTCTATCTTTCTGGTTGACTGTAATATTTCTTCTTTGATGTGGAAGCTCTGCATTTTGGCTATAATGTTCCTGGGAGTTTTGGGGTTTCTTTCAAAAGATAATCTATAGATTCTTTCTATTCTCACTTTGCACTCTGATGCTAAGGGATCTGAACATTTTTCTATCACAGTTTTTTGAAATGTGATGTCTAGGCTGTTTTTAATTTTTGTCATATCTTTTAGGTACTTCAGTTATTCTTAAATTATTTCTCCTGGTTCAATCTATTTGCCAAGTCAGCTGGTTCTACTATGAGATGCCTTATATTTTCTTCTATTTTTACAGACTTTCGACATTAAAAAAAGATTGTTTTTGGTTCAACTTCTATTTGATTTACTCTAGTTTTCAGGCAATACATTGCTTGCTTAAGCTTGTATACTTGTTATACAAGCTATAAATTTTCTTTCTAATTCTTCCATAGCTCTCACTTCTTTTCCTTTTTTTCTCTACAACTCTCCTTTCATCTACAAAATGATTTTAACTTTTAAAAATACATATTTAAAAATACTTTATTTTAACATTCAAAGATTTTGACTTCCAAATTCTCTCCTTCAGCTTGTTGAGAAGACAAACAATATGATATCAATTATACATGTGAAGTCATCCAAAACATATTTCCATATTGTCTTGTCGCAAAAAAAAAGTAAAAAAAAAGTATGTTTAAATCTACTACAAAAGGAATGGCTATAAATATTTTTGTTCCTTTAGTTCCTTTTTATAGTTCCTTTTCTTTTTCCTTTGAACCTTTTTGGGATATAGAACTAGTAGTGGTATTGCTAGGTTAAAGGAAATATACAATTTTATATAGTCCTTTGGGCACCATTCCAAATTGTTATTTGGGCACTGTTCCAAATTGTTATCTTGAACATTTTAGCTTAAAAATACCTGTTTTATTTCCTTTTGCTATATTTTGAAGTAATTCTCCTGAGTTTGTGTCTTGAAGGATTCTGTCACCGTATTAACTCTTTATGGTGGGTTCTTTGTTTGCTCATTCTTCTATCCTACTTCCTGACTTGGGACTTTATGTCATGTCCAGGATTTGCACACTTCCAGAGGGAATGCCTAGGCAATGCTTGTGTCCTGTTGCTGCTTTCTCAGAGTACTGAGTTTTGTGACATTGCAGGATCTTAGAAACAGCTCAGGCTGAGAAACTGCAAGATTTTGGTGATCCCCAAATGGTGTAATCCAGGGAAAATTCTGACCATCCTTCCATTCCTGGTCTAAGCTCTGTCAGTTCCTGACGTGGGTTTGAGTTTGAGTAACATACCTATGGACTTGCTTCTGGTTGTAGTTTCAGTAGACTGCTTCTAGACTCAGCCAATGTAAGTTATCTGGAAAGCTCTGCTGGTTCAGAATGACAAAATTGTAGGCTTACTTTAGACCTAAGGTTCCTTCCCTAGTAATTCCCCTGCAGGTTTCAGACTAGGCTAGGGGCTGTTGCTGATACCCATTCTTCTCTTGGGGTGTCAGAACCACACAACTGTTGCTTTCTTTTGTACTTGATCTTTGCTCAATAAACAGAACATTTGTTCCTTCTTCCTTCAAGTCAAGCCCCTCCAAGTAGGTAAAGGACCTCTTCTTGTCATACTGCAGGCAAACCTTCATTCTGTCTGAACCTGACAGATTCCATAAAGCCTGTCCTGGCTACACACAGTTCCCAGAGTCCGCAAACCTTTCTGTTTGTCTCTGTAGGACTTAGGCTTAAAAAGTGACCATGATTTTCCTTTCATTTCCAAGGAAGAACTTCATTTTGTGTGTTTTCTGGATCTTTGTGTAGGAGACGTGGGGAAGAACTTGACAATATTTCTACTATTCCACTATCTTGGGTGGTCTTCTTCCACCCCATTTTAAAAAATAAGGCCCCTGAGGCTTACAGGGATTAAGGAAGTGTCCAGAGCCAAATAGAAATTAAGTGGCCAGGGCCTTGGACTCCAAAGCCATTCCTCTTTCTACGGTGCCTTATTGTTTTCATCATCTCCTCCTACTATTCCTTCTCTCTCTCTCCCTCCTTCTACTTCTCTTGTGTCTCTTTTTGCTTCTTTTTCTTTTGTTTGCTCTGCTTCTGATGTTGCTATTTCTTCTTCTGATCTTCTTTATCCATATTTGATATTCGTTACTGATACTTCTACTGTTGTTTCTTTTTCTATTACTGACATTTCTTCTGATGTTTATTCTTCATCTTCTGCTTTTTCTTGTGCTTTGACATTTGCTTCTTCTACTTCTGTTCCTTTGTTCTTTCCTTGCTGCTTTTCCTTTTCTTTCTCTTCTTTCTTCTCTTCTTTCTCTATCTCCTCTTTTTATTTCTCCCTCTATTTCTCTCCTATTTTTCCTGTTCTTCTTCCTTTTTTATCGATACTCTCCCTCTTCTTCATCTTTGTACTCTTTTTTCTCTTGAGTTGCTACTGAGGAAGGAAAATAACTTAGAAAGAGGTAATTATGTATTGGTCTAATTTTGCCTGGCCAAAATAAAAGATAAATGGTGATTTAAATGTTTTAATTTGGCTTCTGTTTAATTCTTTTTAGAAGTAAATTTTATTATTTTCTTTTACATTGCATGGATTTTTTTCATATATTTCTCCATTTATGTCCCAGAGATCTTCCCTTGTAACTAACTATAACTATAACTAACTGTAACTGTAACTATAACTATACACACTATATACATACATGCATAATTATATATATACACATATTTGTGCACATATGTATATATGAAATTTCAAAAAGGAAGAAGAATCAGCAAAAATGATCAACATGTAAATGAAAAAAAAATCTAACAACACATATGATATTTACACCTAGGTACACTCACCTCTACAAATGATCAGGGGATGGTATCTCTTCATTACTCTTCTTTGGGGGTAAGTTGTTCTTTACAATTTTACAACATTCATTTCTTAAAATTGTTTTTGCAGTTGTTCTTTGCCTTTATGTTGTTGGAGTAATTGTGTGTTTTCTTGCCTAACTCTAGTTACTGAACTTTGTAACAGTTTATGCAAACCTTTCTATGCTTCTCTGTTTCTATCAAGCTTATTTCTTATAGCACAGCTTTATGCCAGTACAATCAGGCTGCACAATTAACTCAGCCATTTCCCATCTGATAGGCATCTAATCAATTTCCAGTTCTTTGCTAACATTGCTATAAATGTGAAATTTAATTCTGACAATTTCATTTCCAGTGATCCAAATGGGGAAGATTTGCTGAAGTGGCCAGCTTATGACCAGAATAAACAGCACTTAGAATTTGATATAAATCTTACAATTGGAAAGGAACTGAAGGACAAGAGGCTGGAGTTTTGGTCAAAGACCCAAAGCCAAAAGATGGTATCTTCTGCTGTCCTTTATAGCTCTTTCCACTCCCTGGCTTCCATTTCTCTATTGCTGACTTTGTTAACCTTCATGATTTCCTAGGAAAAATGCCTTTCTCTGTATTTTAAAATTCTCTTGCTTTCCCCCCACAATTGGTAAAATTCCTTTTAGTTAGAATATTCCCTTATCTTACCCTCAATCTTTGTCCTGAACTTTATCCTGTAGTTTGTCTCTTCTTATTTTAAATGATTTTCTATGAGAGTTTTTTTTTGTTGAGAGAGAAAAAAATAAATTTTATTGATGTATTTCTCTTATCTAAAAATACATTTTTCCTGCCTTTCCCATCCAGCAAGCAATTGCTGCAAGGGACTTTTTGCAAAGGAAATCTCTTTAAACAATTCTTTATGGATATAGCCATTTTTCATTGTCTTTGAACATTTACTTCCAAAGCTAAAAAAATTAGGTGTGTGTGTGTGTGTGTGTGTGTGTGTGTGTGCACGTGCGTGCATGTATGTGTGTGTGTGGAGACTCTCTCAATAAACCTGGAATGAAATTGTTTACAATCTTATGAGTCACTGACTGTTTCTTATAACTTAATATTATGAAACAAAACTGAAATATTTTCATATATATGTATATATGCATATATATACATACATACATACATATATATATATATATATATATATATATATATATGTAATGGAATTAGTATTATTTATTTAGTTCAAGTTCCATATTAAAGGCAGTTTGTCCTACTCTACCATGGACCTCTTGAGGACAGGACCTGCCAAACAGAGAGCTCAGCTTCCATTCTTGATGGACCCTTTACTTGAGCATTCAATGGAGGAGAGGAGAAGCTGATCCTAGGGCCAGCAATTTCTTGGTACCTAGATGCTTTGTCAAAACAATCAAAGATCAGTCTGTATTTAGAACAGGTTCTCATTTAAAGCAACTTGGCTGCTACAAAGAGCACATGTGGCTTTAGCCAAATAGCTGGCCTGAATCCATGTGTGCTATTTTCTCTTCAAATTTGGGAACTGAAAAATACAAGTTGTTAATAAAATTTAAAAATATTAAAAACAATAGCTCAGGACTTTCAAATCAATAACAAAATCTGATCAGTAGGACAAAGTTAAATCATCCTGACCTTATTTTTATTTTGATCATTTTTAGTTCTATGCATTTCTAGCTATCTACTGACTTCCACAATTCCTATTTCCAAGAATAAATACATGGAGTACAAAACATGAATGATCAACATTGGGTTTTATGTGAAACAAAATCAAGATAAAGAAATCTCTTATTTAAACAGTAAGAAAAATCACTTAAAAACTATTAGCAAACAACCAAAGGGAGGGTGGAATTGAAGAAACTAAAAACTTACTATAGTTTTTCTCAGTTCTTGAAGAGATAATCATCTGATGAACTCATTCTGGGTTTTTTGCCTTATATAGCAGAGGCTTGACCTTACATATGTAGTCCTTAGTCCTAAAATATATACCGGAAGAATTCTGCAGGGATCTGATGGCTATCCCTGCTGCTGTTCCCACTGTAGATGCTTCTCTCTAAGCTCTATTCCATCATGTGCTTCTGCTGGATAAGGTGCCATCACCAGTGCTGCCTCCTAGTCTGTCCTTCAAGTCTTAGAGGCAACTCAATATTAATAATACTCTTTCTTCTAGGTTGGAGATAAAACAATAACATAACTTTTAGACATAACCCACTTCCTCACTTCCTCAAATCATAAGCCTCAAGAGTCTCATTTTGCCTGTGAGCTGCCCCTTTGGCAGAAATCAATACCTGCTGGTATCTGGGGTTCCATATGCATGTAGAGAGGTGATGGGATTCTCATTGGAGAGACCACCAACCCACTTGATTGTGAAAGTTGTTACTCAATGATTTGCCATCCCCAATCCAAACAAACCTTCAGTTTTACCATACATCAAGAGTGTGTCCAGGGGCAGCTAGGTGGTGCAGTGGATACAGTACAGGCCCTGGAGTCAGGACACCTGAGTTCAAATCTGGCCTTAGACAACTGTCACTCACTAGTTGTGTGACTCTGAACAAGTCACTTAACCCCAACTGCCTCACAAAAAAAGAGTATGTCAGCTTTAGATATTATTTGATCTTGAGCTATATTCTATTTATTCTCTGGCCCAAAGACATATCTCAGGATTTTTCTCCCAACAGTTCGAATCAGGGTAATCATTTTAGGCATTTTACAGGGTCAAGAAGTCAACGTGCTAAGCAGAGTCTATAATGTGGGAATCAAGGTTAAGTTACTAGGGTTGGTTTAGGAATACAGATGTCAGGATTCCAGGAGAAGAAAGGCAAAGGGTCATGGTGAGCAAATAGGTATAGAAAGTGATTTGTTGATCATCAAGACATAGAAGAGTCTCTCTATTTGGCATCTTCAGCTTGTTTTCACCCTGACCCAGACCTTATTGCTCATGTTGGTTGATTTAATTTTTCTGGCCAACTGATAACTGCTTTCTCCATATAACCATCCACATAACCCTCTTAACATCTTGCTTCCTTGCCTCAAGAAAGATTAGTGTTATCAAAAGAGCAGGGTGTATGAACATAGCTCAGCCTAAAAATACAGATAAGCTCCAGGAGCTGTGCTTATGTCTAGGGTCAAAGAACAGAAATATTTAAGTAAAGTACAAACTACAATCAGTGTAAAACAGATAGATGGTGTGGGGTGGTGGTGTCAAACACTTAGCCAACAAGCAGCAATGCTCTCTGCATAGTAAGGGCTGAGCCAGATTAAAATGTAATCAGAAAATATTTAACAAAATAAATGAAAATAAAATAGAACACAGATAATATTAGTATGTAGTTGTCTAAGTCAATAGGTGGTCAGTAGGAATCCTTATTTATAGTTTAGTGACCTATTTCTACCTGAGTCTGACACTACTGGTTAGGAGATACAATGTTAAACATAGAGTCAGGAAGGCCTAAATTTGAATCTTGCCTTAAACACTTCATAACCATGTCACCCTAGGCACTCACTTAACCTGTGTCTCTTAGTTTCCTCATCTGTAAAATGGAGATAATATTAGCACCTACTTACAGGATTATTGTGAGGATCAAAGGAGATAATATAGGTAGAGTACTTTAACAACTTTGAAGCATTATATACTTTTTAGCTATTATTTATCTTTGTGAATGCTCATCTTTTGCAAGGTTCACATTGAAGTGTTTAGGAGAGTGTGAAAGTAAATGCCCAGGATGGCTCTAGGTAGCTTCTAATGGCTCAGCTCTGATGATGTCATACTCTTTCCCACTTTTCTTTGTGGTTTGCTCTTTGTGACCCTGAAAGTCAGGGCCCTGTATAATATATCTGTCTTTCCAGGTATTTGATATGGGTTTGTGGTCAGATACTATGATGTTCTGAAGATTAAGTAGAGAACAGAGATGTACTGATAAATGCTTAACAAATAACTTCCTAGGGGGGAAATGTACCCATAACATACTGTTAAATTTAATTGCTGCTGTTAACATATTCTCCATGACGTTCTTAAGTCTAGACAATCCACAAAACTATAAATCAAGCCCCAATTTTTAAATACTGATTTCCAAGATGTAAATGCTCACAGTGAAAATATAACAATAATGCTCAGTTGCCAGTTCAAGCTAATTTTAGGACACTTCTGGATAGAGAGCATAACGAATGATGTGTTCTGAAATTTCATCCTCGTTATGGATATGATACTCTATGACTGAGATTATTTATCCAGTTTTAAAAGGGGTGCATAGTGTTACTTTTAAATGTTGAAGTCAGAACCATCTCTGCTACTCAATATGACCTGTGAGCCCACTAACTGCATGACCATGTGCAAATCACTTAATCTCTATGATCCTCAGCCTCCTCATCTATAAAATGTAATACCTATTTCATGCAGTTGTCATCAAGCTCAAATATAATATGTGTAAAGTTCTTTGCAAACCCTAAAAGATTTATGGATATCAATTATTATTATTTATGTTGCAGTATGGGGACAGGAAGTAAAATTAGAGAAACCTAGTGATGTGAAGACTAAATGAGAGTAGATTTCTGCAAATATGTTTTGAGGTGAGTTGGAAGGAAAGAAGGGTGACAGAAAGGGGCAGTTAGCAAAATTATTCTGTGCTTAGATGCCCAATGCTCAAGGCAAGGAGTCTAGACAAGATCAGGAATTTGAGATATTTTAGAAATTATCTTTTTCTCCCTTTCTTTCCAGGAATGGCAAGAAAAAGACAATGTGTTAGTGGAAAGCACATTGGCCTGAAAGTTCAGAGGTTAGGACTAGACTCAATTCCTAACCTTTTCACTAAATAATTGTGTGACTTTAGAAATCACCTCCCTAAAGCTTGGTTTCTCTATATGTAAAATGTTGGGGTTAGACTAGATGATATCTGTGGTTCCCTAAAATTGCTATTTTGGAAAAAAAATCATGTCCAGAGTAGTTACATGGAGACTGCATTAGAAGCATTGGCTGCATGCCAGAGCTCCTAGGGCCTCTTAGAAGTTGAAGCCTCATTCAACCATCTCCTTATGAATGGGATATAGCTTGGACATGTCTTCGACTACTGTAGTTGATTTTTTCTCTAGTAGCTTGTAGACTATGGCCCAATCCACAGCTGGCCTGTCCTAAAGCCAATATGGTATGGTGACTTGCCTGTTTCTACTGGGTTCTGATAGTTAATAACTATAAGACTTAGTAGTAGACAAGTCAGGGTCAGGGGTGTTTAGGTAGTTGTGCAGTTTATGATTCCTTTTTTGGGGGGAACTTATTGAGACTTTTTAGCCTCTCTTGTGAGATGTGGTATAAGAATCAGAAACACACATGCCTTCAGAGTAAGCTGATGACCTCTTTTTGCCCTGTTTTCTTTTCCTTCTAGTTTTCTATTGGAAATTGATAGGGAAAAAGCAAATTCTACAAAGGTCAAATTTCTCCCTCAATTGAATTTACTTATCTAGCTATTGACTAATTCTTTCGAAGCGCGTCAGAGTTGGGCTGAGGACATGCTAAATGTGGACACAGGCTAGCCACAGAGATTACTGGGGAATAGAGATTGTAGTGTAACATCCTGCAGGCAGGGCCAGGATTAGTGGCCTCACTAGAGTAAATGACAGTAGAGTACATTGGGG